TTGACAAATGGAGGTGCCGAGCTCTGCTCGTAATCGGTCTCGGGGGGAGGGGGGTACCCACCTGTCACCACGCACCCCGCCGAGGTGATGCGCCCCACGCAGGCAGCTTCTCAACCACACCTAGAGGGACATCTGTTTGGGGGCACATCTTGACTTTGCACTAAGTTGCCTTCTATGAAATATTTATCCTGAGACCGTCCCTGCTGACTGATGAGTCTCAGGCCCTCGAGCTCTCCTCCCCTCCCGGCTGCCTTTTGGGACGAGTCACAGATGCCCCGAGCAGAGCCGCCTTCCGCAGGGGTGGCTTTTCCCAGCCCCGCCTGCGTGCCCGCGCGCTCCTCCGTGCCCGTCCTCATCGCCCGCCCGCCTCCCGCTCCGAATCCAGGTTGCTCTGCGCTCGCTCCTGTGGACACGCGGGGCTCTGCTTTGTTTGCTCCGTCCACCATCTTACTTTCCTCGGCTCAGCCTCAGAAACGTCAGGCCAGCGCCATCCACTGCCATCCCCCAGCCCACCTAGGTCTGGTTGCTAATGGAGCAGCATCCCACTGGGCTGGGGACAGGCGACATGGGCCAAATTAATCCAAAGTGGAGACAGAGAGATTGAGAATCGATGTACCAAAACTGCAGATAAGTCACACTTAGCTGTGAAGATATGTTTATTGCCTTTTTCTTAGAAGATTATTTTATTTTCAGGTGATAATGATTTCTATTTCCATTACAATGATAGTGCTTGCGTAATCTGAGGCCTGGGGAATACACTTGGGATTAAATAATCTCTTCTAACCCAAAATTTTGTGATTCCATTTGTCTCTCCCAATAATCCAGACATGGTTAAGAGTGACCTTGACACTGCAGGTTGCTTCTGGGACACTGGCGGGGGGACCAGGAAGAAGCCGGTTGACATTGATTTTGTCTCCCCACCAAAGCAGATTTAAAAAAAAAAAAAAGAACCGAATGGGAACAGGAGCTTGAGAAGCCCTGGGCGAGAACAGTGTTCTCTAATACCTACCGCTCTCTGATGAACCAAAGGGGACGAGATTTAAGAGAATAGCCTGACCTTGAACCCAGGTGGGTTTCGGGTCATGAAATTTCTACTGCTTTCTGAAAACCCAAAGGTCTCTCACTCTTTGTCGAAGCATGAAAGGGGGTTTTCCTTAGTTTAGGCGCCGTCTGTGCTGCTGAGCGGGGGGACGCGGTGGTGAGGTACAGCAGCCTGGTGATCGATGGCACAGGGTCCCCAGGGGGAGAGGCCAGGAGGTCGTGAGGCCCCATGCCAGCGCTAGCCCCCCGTGCTGCGGCCTGGTTGTGGTCTGGCCTCTCTGCAACCCGGCCCCCCGCTTCTTCACTGGCCCCCCTCTTCTTCACCGTCATTTTCAAGACCACCAGGAAGGATGAACACCGCGGCAGACAGCGGTGCCCCTGACAGATGTCTGGTGTCAGCGTGAGGCCAGGCCCCTAGCTTCCCCGAGGCCCGTGAGCACTGGGGTGACTTCCCAGCCTCTCGGGGACCCAAAGGTAACAGCATCAGTCCCACGTCCTGTCCCTCAAGTGGCAAGAGGTCCGTTGCTTCTAGATAGAGGGTGGTGGTCACACCGGGATGTACATGCATCAGGTGAAGACGCGACATCTCCGCAGGTCCGGGGACCCCGGGTCTCCCTGAGGGCGCCCCCTCTCTGTCAGTTCAGTGCGGTCCCTGGCATTTTCTCAGTTACTCCTGCAACCAACCATGAGTGTCGTGAGTGGGGGCTGGTGTCGTGCCACCCCGAGTGCTGGCCTTGGCAAATCCTTCCATTTTCTTCCTGCGGACCGGTTTTACAGTTTTCTGTTCCTGGCTGTTTACCTCTCAACTCTCAGTCTAAACAATGCACAAATGGTATCAAGCAAGGCCTGTTAGACCTGGCCCAGCAGAGAAAGGCCAGGAGCGGGTCTCAGGCCAGGGTTGGTTGATGTCCTCCTCTCTGGGAATGGAGCCCTGGGCACAAAGGGTCAGAGTCAGCCGGTCTCAAATTTTGGGGTGCACCACACCACCCCGGGAGCCAGCTGCAGAGGCAGGTTCATGGCCCCGGGGTTTTCTGCTGTAGTCGTCCCGGCCTGGGGTGTAACAGAGCGAGCATGACGTGAGAACGGTGCGGGGGTTCCAGCCTACATTGGAGCCGGCCCGCCTTATTAAGTCCTTGTCCTCTGTCCTTTTCCGAGACACCCCTTCTCTCTGGGCTGACAATCATGGCCACGCCTCTGGTTACACAGAACGACTCACTGTGGGAGAAGAAAGGGCGAACTTTGTCATCTAGCCTTGGAAAGTGGCACGTGCAGAGTCTTTCGTGTGTGCCTGCAAGACACTTCAAAGTCACTCTGCGGCCACGACACAAAGAGAGGACGGGCTTCACAATGCCTCCCTCCGCGTTGCATCCACCAATGTCACTTTCGGGACTTTATTTCACCCAGGCACCTCGAGGTTTAGGGGAAATAAAGGAGGTCCTTCACTCTTATTTCTGCCTCAGAAATGTCGGTAACCTTTGTCCAAGGGTTTTTAAGGTGGAGTATCTGTGTGTTCTCTATCTAGAGAGCTAAACTTTCTAAAACCTCCCCGCTTCGTCTCTGTGAAACTAAATAGCTCATGCTGGAAAGGCTGGGGCTTCCTTAGCTGAGAACTGAAATGCTATTCTCTTTATGCTCATGTTTATTTCCGGGCAGTGAGCTTGGTTAAGCAAGAGAAAATAAAAACTTTGGATGAAATATGTTATTTATAGTGAATGCAAAGCATCATTATTATCAATTCTTGTTACAAAATCCACAGGGAAAAAAAAAATCCTTTTTGTTATTTAAATATGGCACAGATACATTGAGAAATAGTACAGATGTTAGCCCACAGCCTCTCAGCTGCATCCTGGAGAACCATTATTATGTTTCATTCTTATTTGGAATTACTTGTATAGGCTCTGTATTTCTGGATGAAATTCAAATCAGGGAACACCAGTGAATTGAGATGATTGATTATACACACACACACACACACACACATACATACATATATATACATACATACATACATACATACATAATTTTGGAATTGGAATAGCAATAGAGATACTTACCTCTCAGAGAAAAATCCAGCAAACTTATTGCCGTGTGAGTGGGCTTGATGTATAATGCTTATTACTTAACTAGATATGCCAAAAATGCACATAATTTGTTTCAGAGGTGAACCGACCTAGCCTTCGACCGGTATCTAAATTTGTTTTGAAAATATCTGTGTCATTTTTGAAAATCTGAAATGTGAATATCCCGATCTTTGAAATATCTGGCTTCAAGCCGTAGGCGTTGAAAGGAAGCCCGCGCTGGCATTATTCCTCCCGGGCCTGTGTTTGGTACTCTTGCATAACTCCTGTCTTCTTTGTCTAGGTCTCATTGATGGGAGGCTTTATCTGCAATGTGAGGACAGAGGGTAGTAGTATGTACTTCGTGACCTCTTTGAATGCAGGTGGCACGCGCATGTGTGTGATGGGGACATGTTCGTGGCTTCTCTCCCATTATTGACTGGTGTAGAGCCAGTGACCTAGTCTGACCCTGTCATTTTGGAGATGAAATCAAGGCGAAGGGAGACTAGCTGATTCTCTGTGGACCAGGGAGTTATAGCAGGTGACCCCAGGCATCGAATCTAAGTTTCCCGTTTTGCCGAGTCCGTATCCTAATTGTTGTCACAACACGGCCATTGGCTGTCCCCCTCCTCTATAATAAAATAGGATTGTCTTGATCATCTTCTTAATTTTTCTTCTGTCCCAGCCTCAGCATGTGGACTTTTTTCAAGCCTGGGTTAAAGGCCTTAAACTCCCGACTCTGCTTCACTTAGATCTCCAAATCAGCTTTCTCCTTTTCCCTCAGCCCCGATTCACCTGGATGAGTCTAGTCTCATCCTGTCACCTGTCAACAAAAGGCCGGTTATGAAGGTTTTCCAGGATAGCAGCTGCAATTCACTCTTCACAATAATCACATCTAAGGGGAAAATGGATTGTCAGCTTCAGGGCTATATCCAATATTACTTTACATCATGGCCACTGGCCCTTCCATCTCAAAATGCATCAGGCAGTGCCTAAGTCAGCTGATGGAATACATTAAAAAGTGACAAAAAATACTCTCGAATAGAACAAATCCTTACTGACCATCTTCTGTGTATTAAGCGCTATACTTGGTGGCACAGGACGTAGAAAAAAGGGTAAGATACAGTCACGCTCCCTTACAGTCCCAGGAAGCCGAAAAAAATGCCCTTGAAAAAGAAAGATAATATCCACAGGGAGACCACATTTAAGAATCACGTGGTCAGAGGAGGAAAGTGAGGTCTGGAAAAGCCTTCTGGGAAAAGAACTCAAAGTAGATGTTGAAGAATGAGTATCGCGTTCGGGGGTGGAGGCGGTGAGGTGCGTTTGGACCAGTGTCATCGTGGGTCGCTCTGGAAGCGCGCGCACGTCACACGGCCACTCCAGACGCGTTCGTGGGCTCCGCCCGTCGTCGCGCATCTCGTTTCTCTCACCGAGAGAAAGCGCTGAGAAACTCACGCATCGTTGTACGCTCACGTATCACAGACCTGTTTGCGACGGAACCTGTGTGCTCTGTCGCTTCAGAGTTCCGGCCACGTGGCACTCGCACGAGCGTCCCTGTGTTGGGCCCTAACGGGCAGGTGAACAGCAAACAAACAAACCGGTCATGCGGCGCGGAGAACTTGAGAACCATGGCTCTCGCTTGTTCTTCAGAGGCAGTTTAAGGGCTTTTCCGCCCGTTCGGTCGGCACGGAGCTGTCTCAGCACTAGCGTCACTGCTCGCTCCCGGTCACGTTAGCCCATCACCGAGCAGAGAACGCTTATCTCTGTGGCATCCGCCCGTCTTCCAGCATGACGGTGACACGAAAGGGGTGCGGGGCACAGCAGGGAGCAGAGGGAAGGGTGGGCTGAGGACAGACAGACAGACAGACGGCAAGAAGTGGGGGAGAGAGGCGGGCGCCACCTATGGCGTGTGGAAGCCGTGAGTGGCGCTGCGGCCGGGAGGGCGTCTCGCTCCGCGGCGCCTGCCGGACAGCGCGCGGGTCACTCCGCGACGGGGCGTCTCGCCCGGGGCTTGAAGCGAGTCGCTCGTGTGCCACCGTTTTGTCGTTGCCGTGAGTCTCTCTCTCTCGTATTTTCATTTCGTCGTTGTCCCCGCTCGTGGCGCCTCCTGTTCGGAGGCCGTCTTCATCCGCGGACCTTTCCTCTTCTCGTTTCAGAGGACTACGCGCCGCACGGCCCGGTTTTCATTCAAGAACCAAGTCACGTCACGTTCCCACTGGACTCTGAGGAGAAAAACGTGAAGCTCAACTGCGACGTGACAGGGAATCCAGAGCCTCGCATCAGGTGCGTTGACCGCGCGCGCGCGTTTCCTCGCATCGGGCGCGTTGACCGCACGCGCGCGTTTCCACGTGCCGTTTCCGTCACTGAGTCCGCAAATGCTGACTGCCCGAGAAGCTTCCGGACGGCATCATGGGATGTCCCGAGATGCTGACGAGACGGTGGCGCGCGTGGAAAGTTTAGTACCCGACTTCTGTTTCAGGCAGTACTGGGAATTAAACAAATTAAAAAAAAAAAATTTTTTTTTAATGCGTGAATAATCTGGCAGGAAAGTAAGAAGTACACAGAAGTCAGAAAGTAACTGGCTTGGGAACCCAGAGACGAAAACTGGACACTGTCAGTGGTCGATGGGTTGTGTGAACCAGAGTTTGGGTTTTGCAGCCTCACGGAGAATGGGGGGTCACAAGACACATCCTAGACTCGACCAGGAAGAGAGGCTAACGTGAGAGTGCCCCCCAGAATAGAGCTGAGTCCCAAGGGCCCACCCTCAGAGTCAGTGCGACAGAAACAAGCTCGCCTCCCTCCCACCAGGGGCTATAAAGCAAAAGTAATTGCCTATTTCAAGGCTTGGTGCTAAGTGGCTTTGATGGCAGATGAGACACAGCTGAAAGGAGAGTTAGTAAAATGCAAGATACATCTGAAGAAATCATCCAAAGGCAGTGAGGCAAAGACAAGCAAAATATGAGAGAGAGCGACAGAGAGACAGAGTGACTGAGAGACAGAGAGAGAGAGAGAGACTGAGAGACAGAGAGAGAGACTGAGAGACAGAGAGACTGAGAGAAAGAGAGACAGAGAGAGAGACTGAGAGACTGAGAGACAGACAGACTGAGAGACAGAGACGGAGAAGACTGAGAGACAGAGAGAGACTGAGAGACAGAGAGAGGGAGAGAGACTGAGAGACAGAGACTGAGAGACAGAGAGACAGAGGGACAGAGAGAGACAGAGAGAGGGAGAGAGACTGAGAGACAGAGAGAGACTGAGAGACAGAAGAGAGACAGAGAGCAGAGAGAGGGAGAGCAGAGAGAGGGACAGGGACAGAGAGAGGGACAGGGACAGAGACAGAGACGGAGAAGACTGAGAGAGAACATTTCTACATCTCTCATCAGAGATCCACAGGGAAAGGCGAGGGAGCCTGGGGCAGAGGCAATGTTGAAAGAGAAGACGAAGAATTTTCCTGAGCCAACGAAAAATGCCCACCTGTAGATTTAGGAAGCCCAGGGAGGTGACTTTCAAGCAGAACAAATGAAAACCAAGCCTCATCTCAAACCATCACAGCGAAACAGCAGAACACCAAATGGAAGATGCGATTACCAAAAGGGCCAAAGTCATAATACAGATAAGGTTCAAGGAGGTGACACATCAGCAGCTGACTCGTGAGCAGCAACAGAAAAGCAAGATAGAACAAAAAATCTTTATTATGCTGAGAGGAATTGACTGGCAATTTTCTTTATAGCAGAAATACTTTTTTTTTAAAGGAAAACAAAGTAAATATTTTTTGAGTTGAATCCAGCATTACCCCCACTAAAGGAAAACTTCAAAGATATCCTTTAAGCAGAGTAAAAATCATCCACAGTAGAATATTTGAGATATAAGAACAAACGATGAGGAAAACACGTGGTCAAGCTTAGTATTTCTTCATAAAAATCAATTGCACTAAACAATAATGAAAACAAAGTACTTTCCTGTAAAGAAAAGAACAATTAAAATCATGATAATAATAGAGGTAAATTGAAAGGCCATATACTACATAATGGATCATCCATATGATTAAAAATCAGTGAAGCAGAGTTGGACCCCTACCTCACAGCATAGACAAAGACCAGTTCCAGTGAACAGAACCTACATGGGAAACTTACGACACTTTAAAAAGAAAAGAGGCACATACGTATTTATGACTTTGGAAGGAAGAAAAGATATCTCATATATGACAGAAAAAGCACAAATAATAAAAGAAAATATGTAACTTTATTAACATTAACAACTTTTGTTCAACGGAATTTACTGAGATGAATAAAATTACAAGCTTCCAGCTGGGAGAAGATATTTGTAGTACTATCGCCAGCAAAGGGCCGACAGTGCAGTGTTTAAAGAAATCCCACAAGTCCAAAAGTTAAAACGAGTAACTTAATAGAAACAGTAGTAAGACACTCGATCAGGTATTTCTAAGAAAAGGAATATCGAATATCCACTAAACAGAAAAAGATTATCAGTGAGCAGAAATATATAAAGTAACGCTAAAGTCACAATACTCTTTCAAACCTACTGGATTAACAGAAATTTAGAAGAAATTTAGGAATAATATAAATAAATATAACCAGGGGATCATAATAATATAAATTAAATTAAAATAATATAAGTAAATATGTTCGTGCCAGGTAGCTGGGTACAGTGTGAAATAATTGAATTTCAGCCGCTGCAACAGGTGCATGGTTCTGAGTGAACGAAGCCAGTCACAGAAAAATACATGGAGTGTGATTCCATATTTACAAAGTTCAAAAGCCAGGAAGATGTATAGCAGTGTTTAAGGAGACTGATGTCCATGACAAATCATTATGAAAATCAAGAGAATGAAAAACCAAAATTAAAGATTATAATTAACCATGGTGTGTGGGAAGGTGGTAATTAGAATCAAAATGGAAACAGGAGACTTCAAAAGTAATAATATTCCTTTTCTTGGACAGACCTTTATTGCCTTTTGGTTCTTCAGAACTTACTGATTTTGCCTCTATTCAAATGCAAGGATAAAAACTTCATGCTAACAACCAATTTACAACAGCACGTAAGAGCCAGGAGGATGTATGACTTGAGCTGTAGTTGAGGGGGAAGAGATCGGTGTCATCGGAAGGACTCACAGAAGTGGGCTTCGGTCGGAGACCAGAAGTCTTCACAGGGACAGAGGGTGCAGGGGAGAGGTCGTTAGCACAGCCGAAGTTGTTCTTATTTGTGTGCCCATTTATCAAACACATCATCCTTCATCAAGTTGCCACCTGGTGTTCTCAGACTGGATTCTGGGGTGTGTGGAGTTGGCGCAGGAATTGTTTGGGGGGTGGGTAACTGCAGAGTTTCCCAGCCAAGGCCCCCCCGTGGCGGGTGTGGCCGGGGCGTGGGCTGTGTATCAGGATCGCGAAGCGTGTGCCATCCAAGCAAGGAGTTCCAGCCACCGTGGGAAGCAGCCCAGTGTGCCAGGACCACGCTGGGTTTGTAGGTTCAAGCGGCGAACCGTGGGGGCCTGCCTGGAGGTGGGAGCGAGTGGGCTGTACTCTGTGAGTGCACATGGCGCCCGAGGTCAAGGCCGCCCTGGAGGACCGCCTGCGTCAGGGTGGAGGGCAGAGGGCGTCAGCGAGAGTTTCACGGAAAAAGAGGCGTTTAAGTGAATCTGGAGGGTGAATGATGGATAACGAAAAGAAGCATGTTTCAGAAAATAAAAGAAAAAAAGCCAACAACGGCGACTCTCTGATGCGTTATGCAATGGGGGTGAACATATAACTTGTCATCCAAACCGGGACACTTTGAGAGTGAGAGTCACCGTCAGTAATTGCTCTGGGACGGCAGACGTGAACCCAGCACTGTCCAGTGTAAACCGGAACGCACGTGATTCTCCCTGTAACGTGTCGAATTCAAGGCTAAACCAAACGTTTTAAAATGCTTTATGTCGCCAAAAGAAAGAAAGAATCATGCCAGAGGCAGAGTTCCTCCATGCATGAATGATGAATCACATGGCCCCAGGTTTTAGTGGCCGACAAGCGTTAGTTCAGTTAGCCAGACATGGAAGCAAATTTCGCAGTGGCATTTGGCAAGTCTCTGCTTTGTTTCTCCCTGAACTGCGACCTTTAATTAACATTACTTCTGTAACTCTCTGTTTCAAGATAGAGGGGCTTGCTTGGTTATTTAAAACAAGCAAGGGAACAGAAACCTCATATGTTTTTAAAGATTGCCAGGAGATGCGCAGAAGAAAACTGTGACTCAGCTGCACTCACCGTTGGTGGCAGTGTACTTAGTTTCCCTCCAGACCTTAGGCGGTTTCTCTGTCACACAAAAGCTGATTGGTCCCTGAGAGCTGAAAACTCCCTGCTGTGGAAGGAGAGACCAGGAAAAAGCAAAAAGTTTTCAAACAAGTCTGTGGCTCAACTTTTCTAGCATTCGGTCAGAGAAAAGCAAGGCGAGCTCCCCACGGGCCTCCTTCCTCGGCCAGCGGTTGACCCTCAGACACCGCTGACCTCCCTTCCGTGTGCTCTTCCCCTCAGCGGAGCCTGTGCTTGTCATTTTCTCCTGCTCCTCGATTTTGAAAAGACTGACCCAGACCCAGAAAACGTTAAGAAGTTTTGACTTGTGCCAACTTCCATTGTATGAAATTTCCCAGAGGACAGGTGGCATCACTTGTGATACTCGGCTTCTCATTCCGGGCAGAGGGAACGGTGACGCGCTGGGTCGGAGAGCTCTTGCTCTCCAACAAATTTCAACTCAGAAAGGTCCTGCCCCTTCTTTCGTGCCAAGTTGAAAGCGTGAGCAAAGAAAGAGGGTTTAGCTGCAACAAATCCCACAGGTAGCTTCCCGGCCACGTCCAAAAATCACTATCTACTTGCCAGAGCTGCACAGCCTCCCTCTCTGGAGAAAATTGGTTCACGATACTCCAAAGGATTCAAAAATCAGCTTTTGAGACTTACCGATTTACCCGATCCTTCAGAAAATCTTTTTATTTCCCCCAATGGGCATTATCTCTGTAGGACCATTTCTCAAAAGATTCCTGAAACCTTGAAAATAAATTGTGAAATGCTGAGTGTAGCAGGACCGCATGAGGAAGGCAGCTCAGCGCAGTCCGCATTCGGTGGGAAGGAGCGGGAACAGAGCTTCGCGATGGGAATGCACCTGGATTTCACAGCAAGCACTTTATTTTCTAAATAATCCCTTTGCCTTTGCTCTTTGTATGGAAAAGCGGGCGACCAAGGAGATTAACGGACTCTGTGCAGAGTGTTTTTGGTTGAGCTGACTGGTGTAGACGAACCTGCAGAGGTGTTCTCATTATCCCCGAAACCACTTTTCTAAAAACGCTCACATGGCCTCATTCCTGAAAACTGCAGCTCACATTACACCGCAATTTCCTCTTCGAGTTCTTAGGTTTGTCACATTAAATTGCTCAACCATCATTTGAAGTGAGAGTTATGGCTGAGACGTGATCAGCTGACTCCAAAAAATGTCTGTGGCAGGCAGTCAGCTCTAGAGATTCATGTGCACACAAACCTGCTAAAATATAACCCGGCTGTTGGCTTTTTATCGCTTATTGCTTTCTGGTCTGTGTCAGAACACAGCGCGAATGACTGTCAAGCCGAAAACTGTGTCAATTTCTAAGACCCATCTTCTCATGAGCAAAAGCGTGCAGCGCGATGTCCCGTTTCGTGTGTCTGGCCTGCCTCCCTCCTCCCCCCGCCCCTTAGGTTTCTAAGATCTTACGTTTCGAAGACATAGATGGGAACAAACACACACTGCTGTGCTGAGCCGGGCCAGACGCTTCATAAATCATGCATGCTCAAATCAAAAATGTCCAGCAAAGAGGCAACATGTTTAGTCAACTCCACGGGCATTTGTGGAGCCCACGGAGAGTGTCAGGTGCTAGGATGCGGAGCGGGGAGCACAGATGTCATCTGGGCAGGTCACCTACTGCGAAGGCAGGATTCCTATGGAGCAGAGCATGGGGCGTCCGTAGGGGATGGGAGAAGCGTTTGATTTTGACTCAGGACAGTGAGGAAGGCCTCACTGGAAGAGCCGTCCTTGAAGGTGACCTTGAAATGTGAGCGGTCTCGACAGAGAGGGATCATTCTTGAAAATTGTTTTGGCCGGTACCAAATATTCACAATCTTGCCACTTTCCACTTAAGTCCTTTTGCCCTGTACACCCGAGCCGTAGCACCCCACAATGTCTCCCATTTTTACTCTGCTCATTGTTTCTGGTTAATTTCCTTTGTGCTCCTGTGTCCTTATTTTTTGGTCTCCCAATGTGAATGCTAGTCTGAGACTGTCGGTACATCAGAAGCTCCAGCTACGCTGCGCTCATTACCTGATACTCCGTGTAGGATTTGGGAGGGAGGGGAAAAATAAGATAGTCATTAAATCGTATTAGCTCAGAAGTTTCTAAATATTCAAATGACTTACTAGTTAAGGTAAGCTCTCTTTCGGATAAGCTCTATTGGCTGTTAAAAAAAAAAAAAGATTTTGTTACTAAAGATTTGCTTGTGTGAGTCCCACTAAAACTAATTTATTGAGCCGAACCCTGTAGTCAGATCCACAGATGATCCAAGTAAACAAACAGAGGAAAAACAGACTCTCTGCCTCTGTTACCTCATGGTCTGTCTGCAGCTTCCTGGGCTGGTCGATGGATGTTTGAGAGCCGGTGGCCATCTTCACGGTGACCCGTGGTCATGGCTAGTTTGGTCACCGAGACAGCTCTAGACCGGCAGAGTCCCTTGGATTTGCAGTCAGCCATTTCAGCCATATTAGGGACCAGACCAACGCAGCTGTGCTGCAGGTTCATCAAATCCTCCATGATCTACCTGAAAGCGACCTATCCTGTCATCTGTAGAGACCCTTTTAAAGAAAAGCTGCAAAGCAGAAAAAGGACTTTTACTGAGGAGCCCCATTCAAAGAAAGTTGTACAAGATGCAATAAAAAAAAAAAAATTTTTTTTTTAAAAGTGAAGTGTTCGTAGCACCACGAATAGTCCCCAAAATAAGTGTTAAACTTTTAACACCATCGTTTCCTGCAAAGGACATGCTCTCTCCATGAGCATGTAAGTTGTCACTGTTGCTGGGTGGAACGTTTGTAATTTTTTTTTTTTTTTGCCATGGTTAAAAAAAAGTCATGATGGTATTTCATGCTATTTATAGTTTTTTATATATTTTGGACAATTCAGAAATGTTGATTAATATTACAAGGCTTGATCTCCATGCACTTTCATGCTGCAGGTGGAAGTTAAATGGGACAGATGTTGACATCAGCATGGATTTTCGCTACAGTGTTGTGGAAGGCAGCTTGTTGATCAATAATCCCAATAAAACCCAAGACGCTGGAACGTACCAGTGCGTAGCGACAAACACGTTTGGAACAGTCGTCAGCAGAGAAGCCAGGCTCCAGTTTGCTTGTAAGTAGTAATTACGTCGCATTGCAAATGTCACTTTGAGTTTTTGTACCATTGTGCCAATAAGTCTGCAAAACAGTTTCTTTTGGAAAAGAAAAAAAAACAGATTTTAATTTGTTATATCATCCTCTTTACTCTTTTCTCATATCTGGGAAACATTTTGTTTGTAGATAAATTGTAAATCTGTGTGGGAAGATGTAGCCTTCCATATTTGAAAAGACTGAGGTAGTTTGATTGTACGATAGTTTGGTAATAGGATGCTCTCTACACACATAAATTCGCACACATGCTCAGATTTACACATATGGCAGTTTCCATACACAATAAATTACACGTACACATGCACACACAAGAGAATGCGTATAAGCACATACCTGAACTGCCAGCAACCTAATAGTCAATATGAAAAGTATTTACACATAAAGCACAGTCAGAAAAAGATCTCGATGGTCTATCATTTCTATAATTCTCTGTTTTTGTCTTATTTCATAAAATAGGAAAAGTTCAAAAACAACCACAGTAACACGAGGCTGAGACAATTAAAGCGTTACCTTTTATATTATGCCCTTTGCGTTTTCAGCTTAGAACATTTAGAAAACAAATTGCCATCTCTTAAGACCACCATCTAGTAAAAGTTCACGAGCATATCAAAGAAAGTGAAATTTGGAAGTAGCAAGTGGAAAATAAAATCCACAGGCAAGAGCGTAACGGCCTTTGAGGATTGATGGTCGACTACGTTTTTAAGGGTTTATGTATTTGCATATGATTATAGATTTCCTCATGTAAAATCCCAACTCATATAGCAGTGCATTAACGTCAAAGGCTTTGTAATTATAAAGTCTGTTAGCGGTAACACTGCAGGATATTCTCATTAACAAAATCCTCTCCGGGAACTCGGCGTCGCGTGTACCTAATATCCAGTGCTTAATCTATTATTGCCATTTGGTGGCATTTTTATTAGCTGAGAAATGAATTTTCTAAGGGCTGGGTATATGTGGGATTCCAGGGTTACTTTGTTTGAGAATATCTCCTGAGAGTTGTGCAAATACCCTTAGGTGTGCAGAATAACCGGAGGGCGACCTGTCTGTCCCAGTGCTGCAGAAGCGAAGCGTTCGCTTCTCTGGGTTTAACGCAAGTCTGATATCTATACTTACTTTACAGTAACGGCAGGTATATTTTGTGGGACTCGCGTTGGAAAAGAATCATGGAATCATCGACTCGGGGTAGGGAAAATCTCTCTCTCCGATGGCTCTCTCTTTTGATTTTTGGATTTTATGGCATATGGAAGTGTTCAAAACAACAGTCACAGAACAAAAGAGATTGGGGGAGCATCACCGACCTCTCGTTGGTCTAACTTATAACACTGAAAACGCCGATTACCAACTCTCAACACTATCCTCTTGTGAAAGCCCAGGTGTTTCTACTACCAAAATATCTGGAAGGCAGAATCTCGTATTCAAGGAAAGTCATGTAGAGAGGATAGTGTAGCCTCAGTAGAAGCTCTGCCATTGTGTGGGCGGGTTGGCCCAGGACCCGTGTCTGAGTCCACCGTGCTTGTCCCACTCATGTGTGATGTAGGCTCCGTGCCTCCCTTGGAATCCTTGGCTGATAACCATTCAGCTAGAAAGATTCTAAAAATGGTGAGCTTACCCATCCATCCATCACAAAGCATCCCGACCCACAGTAGTCTGCTTTAGTTGTTCCAAAATATGAAACAGACCCAGCGTCTCTTCCTTCAGATCGAGCCAAACATCTACATGTCCGTCCATTTCACTGCCCGTGCTTCCTGTAGAAGTTCGGTTAGGCTTCCAATATATGAAAATACGGTCTTGGCCCTTTAGCCTGCAATTCTTTTCTTCTCCAGGTACTAAATTCACATGTCCCTTCTACACAACACACTCAGTTATGTTAATTGTGACCATATAGAAGAAAAAAAGAATGTAGCATCGGTGCGTGTGCCTTGAACTTTACAATGTCAGTGAATGCAGTTGATACAGGTGCTTGGTCTCACATCATAACCTTACTTTGAACATAACACTTATGTAAACTCTGAGGATCGATTTTTCACGAATGTATCAGTGCCGAGCCACCCAACTGTGTCATTGCCCTAAATGCAGAATAGTTTTTCACCCTTATTGAATTCACCTTCTGAGTAGTGACCTTTTGTTCCATCAAAGTTGAAATTGTTTTAAATCTTTTTTTTTTATCTAAGTATCGATTATTCTCCTGCTCTCGTGTCAGCGGAAAATTTGATAAGCACGTGTCCAATCAAATAATTGATATAAAATGTTGACCAGGACAGGGCACCCTGCCAGTAGAGAACTTCCACGGAAATGAGATAGAACTTTTAAATCAATATTCTTTGCATACTCTTGTTCGAATAGCTACCAAGTCACCCAAACATACTGCAACTGAACCCCAGTTTGTCCTACTTGTTCTTAAAGTAGTGAGAATTCTTCGCCCAATGCCTTGTAAGTTGGGGGCACTATTTCTATGACACCTGCTCCCACCTGTTCACTATGCATCTCCTCTAGATCCTCCTTAATCATTTATTATAAGACAGCCAGAATAATCTTTTAAACATGTAAATGAGATCATTCCACTCTCCTGCTTTCTGCCATCTCTGCACCTAGAATAAATCTCAAATTCATCACCATGGCCTCATTTGAATTTCTCAAAAATGACAAGCTGTCTGTGGCACTGGGGCCTGGATCCTTTTGTTCCCTCTGCTCGACGTGCGTTGGCCCGGATCCTTCTCCAGGCTCACTTCTGAAGAGCCTCAGTTGTCAGTTCAGGTGTGACCTCCTAAGACGAAGTTCCCATGTCACCTACCTCACGAAGAAGCGCTCCTGCCGTTCCCTCTCCTCCGCTCTGCCTTCCTTCTTCCAGCCCCCACGTCTGTGTGACAATGGCCCCTCTCGTCCGTTAGGGCTTAGCACAGCCTGAAATGATCAGGCCTGTTTGTTCTCTCTCATTATTTGACTCTTGCGATAGACCTACGCTCTACGAGATAGCTGAGGCTATGTCATCCATTTTTTTTTTTTTTTTATTGCTAGAGTCTAGGACACGGTACAAGTATGCATAAAAGGATTCCTTTATTAACTGCCCATTCAGTAACAAACCCAGGAAAATATATGTATAAGGTTATTTGGGGGACGGTGTAGTTTCTAAACCCTTTCTGTTTCTAGTCATTTACTGGGCTACAACCTCTTGATCATCAGTCTGCAGTGTTTAGACTTTCTTCCTATCCTTCTTCATGTAAAAACATGAGAAGATGTGCCTTTATTCAAAGTCATTTTGAAATGGTTGGAATAAAATACTTCTCTTCGGGGACGTAAGGTGAAACAGACAGTGACGTTATTTGAATGTCACTAAGTCATTGCTGTCACCCCAAGCATTTTCTAAATCATTGAGGAAAAGAAACAGTACCCTTTGAGCATACCCACTGCGCTATAGCACGCACGCGAGAATGTTTCTTTATTGTTAATCCTACGATGAGGTGGCTGAAACAGACCTGGTGGCTTTCTTGGTGTATATCTTTAAAAAAATGAAATTGGAGATGAGCGTCACTGAATTACTCATCGTCAAGTCCACAGTTAATAAACGACCGCCAAGGGAAACCGTCTTCTCCCCTAGTTCAGTGTACCCTGGCTTGTCTCTGCTTCAGACCCACCTTATTTATAAGAAAAACATCCCTTCTTTATCTAGCGTCATGATTTTCCAATTTCGCTTAAATATTTTATATAATTTTATCCATAGGATATTCTTATCAGTTAGACATTATTATTCCCATTTTTTAAAATGTTTTCATGCTGATTTTGTAGGCGGGATTTGGCAAGCTCTTGTTTTTAGCATTTAAAAATATAAATTCATATAAGCAAAAATTATAGTTAACGGAGATGATACTCCTAAGAGCCTGTCCCTCCCCGCACCTTTTTCATTCAGAGTATTTAAGCTGGAAGGCCTTCCTCGAGTAAGCAGACACGGTGTAATTTAAGTCACCCTTCTGGAGCTTTGGACATTATTGCTGTGTAATTTGGAGCACATTTTGTTTTCCAGTCCACCTGTGGGGTTAAGTCACCTCCCGTAATGTCACTTGTCTCATCTGTCATAGCAGGCCATCAGTACCCCGTCTACCATTCACTCCTGCTTCACTGAGGGCTGGAAAACTTAGCCGATTAATTTACCCGGGTTTACCCAGTGTCTGGTGCTGAGTAAACTTGCAATACTTGTTGAATGAATGAATGAATGAATGAATGAATGAATACATAATAAGATATGGGTATTAAGGTCCGCAGGCCATGCTTGGCACCCGAGTTGAACAGCTGATGTCAGGGACTTTCCAGTGGCCCTTGGGTGTCTCTTAGAGGCAGGCACAAGCATCTTCACCTTGAGGATGTAGGGCAGACGGCTGCCATCTTAGTGCCAGATAAGGCAGGAGACCTTAGTCTAATCATGAAGAAGTTCATGTTGCATCCTGATCACATGGCTGAGGATGCACGCAGCCAAGGGGAAAATCAAGTCGATTGTCCCTTAATTCTTACATTGGCACCTGGATCAGAAGATAAAGCCAGGAGTGAGGGGAGTTTCGGTTCGTTAATTCCTCTGCTGGATGGTGGGGATTTTTCCAGAGAACATGGAGGTGCAGCCCCATCACCCAGATGTCAGCTTCCCCCGCCAGGTGCCCCAAATCGAGCTGCTTGACAATCACTGGGCACGGTTATTCAGCAGGGCAATTATTTTCTCTGACATGTAGACATGGATATTTTTAAGTAAATTGCAGTATTCACTAATACACTGACAAAATATCTAAATCCTTATTTTAAAAAAAGTGGAACGTGGGCATCAGAAACAGATACCATATTGCCTCCATTCGGAGGGAATTGTAATTTAACAGAGATTAAATTATAAAGCACATGTGAATCCCAGAACAGGTCCTAGCGTGAGGAAGGCATGCGGCACGGCCTCCCTACCCTCTTCCCTTCCCCTGTCTTCCCGCCCCTCCTTCTCTTTTAAAAATAAGAACAATAAGTTACATTTGCTAAGAGCTTAGGGTAGTGTGTGAGGGCACTAACCTGCAGTGAGATGCCCTGGGCTGAAATTCAGCATCACCCCGTGACCTGGGACGAGGTACTTCTCTCTGCCTCAGTTTCTCTTTTTTTTCTTTTAAAAAATTATTTTAGTTAATAAACCACACTCTTTGAAAACCAGGTGTTATAATTCAACGGTTAGTGTCTTTAATCATCAATTTTTTATTTCTTGGTTTAAGTATGCTTTATGTTTTATTTAAAGATCAGCTATCTTAGTCGATATCAAAAAATCGAGCTGCTTTTTTAATTTATTTTTTTATTTAAGCGGAGTTGGTAGACGATCTTATGCTGGTTATGTCAGTTTCAATAGAACAAACGAATGAAGCAAAACCAGACTCGCAGAAACAGAGACCAAAGGGGTGTTTACCAGAAGGGGGGACGTGGAGAGCAAAAGGGGAGGGGGAATACAGTCGGTGACATTGTGATGAGTGTACACAGGGACAGATGATTACTGGAATCCGTGGTGACCACACGGTAAAGTATAAAACTGTCGAATCATTGTCGCCTGTTTCTTTATCCATAAGAATGGGTCAAATACCTGTACTTCCTTTGTGGTCAGCGTGAAATGAGTTGATGCTGATAAAACTTCTGGGTCATCATCTCGCACACATGGAGGCTTTAATAAGTGCTACCTCGTATTATCATTTCTAGTATAAATGTATTCCTTCATGTGAGGTAGTTCGCTAAGTTTTTAGTCTGCAACAGGACCCGAGGAGGTATTGGTGTTATTTTCATTTTGTAGGTAAAGGACCCGAGGATGAGTGACACGAGTTCACTTCCACCAGGCGTGGCGTGGACGGAGTTAGGCCACCTATTTCCTGACCTATGGCATTTGACAAGCATGGTTCCCCCTCAGACACCAAAACTAAACTTTCCTCATGGAATTTATGTTCGAACCACAGATTAGAGTGCTTGATAAAATGTTTCCTTCGTAGACACAGACGTGGATTTTTCAGTGTGTTTACAACCTTTCATATAGTATATCCATCATTAATTTTTTTTTGTTTTTAATTTTTTAGTTATGGGCCTCCTTAATGCTGTCATACCGTTGATTTACTATTAATATCTAAAAGCATAATGGTGTATACTGCAATTATGCATACATTTTGACTCTGATTTTAATATAATTGGTTTCAGTTTCCATAATGAGAATAATTAATAACCATATTTCTGCTCCAAAAGTTAATATGCAAATTTCCAATTTATTGCAAGTAGCTTGTAAAACATTCTGAATATTGATATTTTATGGTAAATAACTGTGGGCTGGTAAACTGTATATCCCCAAGCAGTAAATGACATATTATTGTAAGTTTTCTTACTCCCAAATCATTCCTCCCCCACATGTGGAAAAGATGTACTTTAAATGCAGATTATTATGAAGAGCTTCCAAGAGAATAATCCAATAACTCCATATTTTAGCTTGTCAAACTGATCGTTTCTTAAGTATTGTTTGGGGCCTTCTTCCTGGAAGTTCAGCTGTTTTATAATAGTTCAGATCTTCACAGCGAAAGCCTTAGGCTATTCATCATCTTAGGTTACAGATGACTATTATTCATACATAAGTACCTCCAAGTTTCTCATGGTAAATTAAATCATTTGACAAAATCAAGTTGCCCGACCGCCTTAGACAACTGATGTTGTCTTGGCTATAGGCAAGGTGGCGTTGTCTTGAAGGAGGCAGTGGAGTGGTGTCTGCGCTTTTCTCTGTTGGTACCATGCCTGGGGACACACCAGGCACACCCTGAGATGCAGCCTCCTGAGCTTGCAGTAAAGAGAAAGGGATGGAAGGAAGAAAAGAAGAGGAAGGATGGAAATGATCAATGAAGGGGACCTTTCGGTGCAAAAGCCACTCGTGGTGGACATCTTGTGACCTCAAGCAGTGCATTCGTAAGGATAAAGTAACTGAATAAGCCAGTGCATTCTGACGTTAATTTCAATGAGCTGTATCAGTCAGGTGGCAGCCAGCGTTTTTTATGGTGAAAGTATCTCCTTGATGAACAGCAGCTCAGGAGACAGCCTCACTGAAGGGAGTCTTCTGGCTGCCCCAGCAAGCCATTCCCTAAACGTGGGTGCCCTGTGGCAATTGTGATGACCGTGGTCGACGGTGGTCGTGCTGATGGTAATAAAGATTAGAAAAACGTGTTAGATTTTGAATACCGTACTGTGTTCAGCTGGGGTTTTTCTGAGCCTCGATCGTTGCTTCTGTTCACAGTAAGTGTCAAATGTTCGTTGCTTTTAATATTCAACAATTAGTTTACCTTTCATAGCCAAAGAATGAAATGTGTCGTCAGTCAGAACCACAGCTGGGGTTTTGATAGATGGCCAAACCTGTGACTAGCTTGACTGATATTTAATTAGGAAGGCTGCTTAAATAGGCAAACTTTTTGTTTCTGAGAAATAAAAAAGTGTTGATAGATGACTGGATAAATAATTTGTGACTATTTAGATCAATTAAAACTTAATCAGCTAAGAAACGTTTGGATGGAAAAACGAAACATTTATCAGTGGAAATCTTTGATCTCCAATAAAAGAGTGAATTTTTCTTATTTGAATAGTTAGAAGAATTCAAAGCAAAACTTGCCAAATTTCTGAAACAATGCTTTTGGTAGATCATTTCTGCCACTTATTATAGTCCTAGAAAGACGTTGATGATGACAATTGGTGTCTGTTGAAAATTTCATAATGTCAACCTTAAGACTAGCTGGTTTATGGCCATGCTGTTGGTCCTTACTGACGTGGGTAGCTGAGAATTGTGGTATAATGAATAATTGAAATTCACAGGCATACAACATTATTCTCATTTTGGGTCCTTTCCACAAAACCCATTAATGTGCAGATACTAGTTAATTGTACCTATTGGTCGATGAGGCATATCTGTTTCTACTTATTCCACAGTCCTATTTGGGGTCTATATGACTGACAAACGGTAGTTTGTGACTTAAATAAATGAAGTATAGAGTTTTTTGTTTGTTTGTTTGTTTGTTTTTAGGTCAGGAGCATTCTAACAATAGAGTGAAAATTGGCAACCAAGACTGACAGGGGGTGCGAGGTTTCAACCAAGTTCGATGATCAGACAGGGCTTTAAAAAATCACTGAAATTAAAAGCAATTAAAGCTTCGTATTATAATTTTTTAAAAAAAAAAACATCAAATAACCAAAATATAATCCCTTTTTATATCATTGTTGTGGATCATTAGTCAATAACTATGAAAATGATTCTGACTGGTTTTGGAGTTTAATTGTGAGGCAGCGAGGATTAAATCTTCCCGTCACTACGCTTTAAGTTTGGCTAAAGTTTCGATGGACAGTCGGTTAGGTGCGGCCGCTCAGCTGGAAGGGGAAAGCCCTTTCTGAACGGGCGGAAACGCCAGCAGAGGGTCGCTAATTCGTTCTCCTTTAAGAGCTTTTACTGGAGAGGCCATGATGTCGTAGAAAGACACAAATTCAGTATCACTCAAAATTCAAAATCCCTTAGACCGTTGATAGCGGGTGGAATGGCACCTTACCAAGAAGCGTCACCTCCACCTCCAACCTGCAAACGTGACCTCGTGAGAACAAGGGGTCTTTTCAGATGGAATTCAGTTGAGGGTCTCTTGATCGAGATTATCCTCGATCGCACGGTTGGAGCCTATTCCAAGGGTCCCTATGGGAGGCAGAGGAGGGAAGACACGGAGGAGGGGGCAGGTGACCTTGGAGACGGAGATCGCACTGAGGCAGCCACAGGACACAAAGGGTCACCAACAGCCACCAGAAGCTGGACGAGGCAAGGTCGTGCCGTCTCCTAGGTAGGACCTCTGCACCCCTTCGACCTTTCATTTCCAGATTTCTAGCCTTCAGAATGTAAAAGAATCAATTTCTCACATTGAAAGCCACCGAATTTGTGGTGGCTTGTTCACGGCTGCCCCGAGGAACTATTAGACCAACGTAGGCACGGTCCTTTGCCTTTTCTCTCCTGACCGTGTTCATCAAAGAAACATAAAATCAGCTGAGGAACGAGACCCACATCAGCTGCCTTCGTGACTGAGGGAGCCAGGTCTCCAGAGGGGTGGCCCTGATTAAACACGGGAGGATCTGGCAGGTTTTCTGCTCCGCTCTGCCTTTTCGTCCAGCGAGCTCAGCAGCGTTTTGAGCTGTATATGGTCTGATTTGATGAAATAATTACAGAAAGGGAGCCGCAGAAATTTAAAGAGGAACCTTTTTCCTTCCCCGAGCCCTTCTCTGCCTCTCTCTGCAAGCCTTCCCTGGAGTAGCAGGATTGGCCCCGAATCCAGAGGGCAGTGATTTAAAGTGATTCAGGGGAGTTTCTTGGCCCCAAGTCCCTCTCTCTGGACTTCGTCTTTTTTCTAGGTCATTCTCCCTGAATTTGACCCCTTTGTCTGGCAATCGGAAGCCCTAGAAAGTAGCTATTGTCACATTTAGAGTATCTGGCCTACTGGTGGCCAGAACACTTCTGCTGTGGTCTCTCATGCATTGTTGCCATGGGCACTGTGACATTTCTGGCTGCCAAAAGGCCCCGTGCTACCAAGGCCAGGTCCCTTTGTCCCCGTAGTCAGCCCTTTCCAGCAAGAAGGCTGTGATCCGAACATGCTGTTTACCTCGAAGCTCGTGTGTATTTTATGCTCCACACCAGCTAGCTTTTACTCCACAGCGACGTGTCATCCCTTTAGAGCGGCGGTCCCCAA